ACAATATTCACATCGTAAAAACATTGATGGCCTTAAACAGATTAAGCTTTGTCGCCATATTCGTTTTTAAGATCGTCATGACCACCGCTTGTCTTCTCACCGACGTGAATTTTCTCGTGTGTCCAATATTGTACAGTGGCAAAGAAGTCGACTTCGAACTTCGGGGATGCCGAATTCGGATCCACTATAGAGACAGTCTTCGTTTTAACCTAGAAATAGCCTAACCGATTTCGGCGCAATCAGCCGAAAGATGGGTAATTCTTCCGTAACTTGCTAATAATACGGACAACACGGTGTTCTGGTGCGTTTATACCAGAATGGGCGATAGTTTCTGGTATTTTTCAGTGTGATAATCAACACATTGTGTAAACCTTATTATTACCGTTTTTGTTCTCTGTATTTCTAAATTAGAGGGGGGGGGCTTTGTACCTTTTCAAAATTGTCAATTCAGCTTTGTTTAATTAAGGAGTTGAGCGCTTAAAATATCTACCTAATGACTTAATTAAAATTGTAACTACGCTACTGAAAGCACGGATTTTGCTCACGGATTTTTCTTGACTTCGAAGAATGCACAAGTACCGAAAGTAGACTAGGTAGACCAAATGAAAATACTGAATAGAAAAGATAGAATAAAACAGAATGAAAGCTGAAAATAGAAGATAAAAATAAAACAATGAAGTAACTATAAGAACAGCTGACTATTAGTCATTTAAGGAGCAAATAGCTTTAACATCTCATTATGTTAATACCTAGTCGAAATGATATATTGGATTTGATATTATATTGTTATAACATCGCTGAAGTACTGAAAGTAAGATTAAGAAGTAAAAATGGCATAGAGCACTTTTCGAAAAGTGCAAATGATCTTGATCAGGAATCTGGCCTTGCTTTAAACATAAAGTTGTCGATCAGTGTGTTCTCCCATTTCTAATCAGTGGATGTAAAACATGGACCATAAGCAGGAAAGTTATTCATAAACTGCAGACTGCGCCATGCAACATGGAAAGATGTGTTGGGAATAATAAGAAGGGTTGAATGGGTAAGAGCACAAACGAGAGTCTGCAATGTCATTTTCCGTGTTAAGAATTTAAAGTGGCAATGAGCAGGAAACATTGCAAGAAAAATCAACCATCGTTGAACAGAGAGACATTAAACTGAGTTCCAAGAAAAAGTAAACGTCCAGTATGAAGTCCTCCAAATCGATGAAAGGATTAGGCGAAAAAGTTTGATGCATTACGAGGGATAAGAATTGCAAAAAGCATAAGTTTGTAGCGAAGTCTTTGAGCGATCTTCATTCAGCAGTGGATCGAAAAGACACTAATGAATAACGTAATCTACATTTCTAACTTATTTCCTTCACAGGTAATGTAGGGCGTCACTTGGGAAAGGGTCGAACTGTTTTTCTTTCTGTCTATGATTATTTATTTGTATCTTTGGTTTCTATTGCTGAAAAATAGAATTCTTCGGTTATTCCGGGTGAGCAGGAAAACGCCGTCAACTAGAATACCTCTTAAGAAAATTATCAGTCAGTGAACGGTTTATTGGCTTGCGTAACTAGTTATCAGGAAGACTACCACCCTCTGACACACTAAGCATATATCTATAACGAAGCTGTGTTTAAAGCTTAATATTCAAACCGTTTAAAGTGCGTTCGCCTTCCGGGCCTCTAAGAGTACTAAAAAAATGGCTGCACAGAGAGGCAGGTTTGCGATAGATTGACTGTGGTGAAGAATTCTGTTCTGGCCAGAATCGCGCCGACAGTATGCCTGTTCTCCGACGAAAGGGGCGATCCATTCGGGAACTAGACATGCATAGTTTGGCCCATGAAATCGTATAACAGCAATTTCTCAATCCATATACTGGTGTAATGGCCCGTCTGTTTGATTAGCAGTTTTACTATGCGAAAGATAATCAGAACGGCACGGTTTAAAATGACATTATCATTTTTCTGCGAACAAGCAAAAATGACTGAATCGATATTGATGGATGATAAGAAATTGACCAAGAAAGTCAGAAGGAAGCATCTGCAACCTCAGCTGCCTGAACAGATAAAACGATTCCTGCTTAGGTTCGCAAATGTTTTTTCTATGTTGACTTTGAGAAAAACTCATATGCCAATTGTTGTGTCAGGTCACCAAAATTTGATTCTTCGATAATTTTATGCCTTCTTTAGTATACCTTTTGACACAACCATCTTAGAAACGGGTAGCGAGATGGTGACTTGCAAAAAATAGGAATAGCTTGTTATTCTGGCCTGGTTACATAAAAATGAGCGAAGTGTATGGTCATGTTGTATAAGGCGAACGAATCTTGTGGCTGCACTTGGTCTTAATCCACCTAACAGCTGATCATCCAGTGTATGGTAACCAGCACACAACGTTTAGCCATGGATAAAATGAATCTGCTTATTATAGCAATTGGACAATTGAAAGATGTAAGAAATTTAGCATTTATAGAATTGAATTAACTTCAACAGGGTTTGTAAAGGAATTTGTGACCGTGTTCGATCCTTCGGTTAAGCTCAAGCAAGTTCAGCTAAATTTTAGCATATCATATTAAAATATGTAATATTTCAGACGCAAGAAAACGTTGTCGACGACCTTCAGCTTCCTTGAAAATGCGTGACGAGGACGAAGAGAACATAA